GTCCACCCTCACAAAGTGGTAGGTGGAGTCTCTGTTGTTACCCTTGCCTCTCTGAGAGGACACTGGAGCTCCTGCCTGCTGAATGGTGGAGGTGAGCTGGGCCTGGCCACCGAATTTCATAAAGCCCTGAGAAGGCTCCTAGGCCAGCCCTGTGGCGTCTGAGTCTCAGAGATGGGTGGAGCCTGACATCTCTGGCCGGGCTTCACTATCAGTGGTATCAGCCTTCTGCAGGATGAGCCTTGCCCTCTTTCTGCAAGCTTCCCGCTGCAATGGCCCCTTGGGGAAGGGAGCTTACTGGGCAGATCCCACCTGAGCTGAAGGTGGCTGTGATATAAAGGCAGTGCCCCCTATCACAAGAGCCTCCCATGAGGGTACTCAGGAGTTCCAGAGAGAAGAAAGTGACTGGGAAATTGTCTATCACCTCTTCCTAGGATGCCGAAATAGCCTGTTTTCCATATGGTATCCCCTGGGTTACTGAGTGATTCTCAGCAGCCAAGAGCTCCAGGGAACTGAGAGGTGAGAGCGCAAAGGCTGAAGCAGACCTTGGTCCCTCTCTCAGCTCTGCTCCAAGTCACAAGCCAGGTCCCGAGAACTTGGTTCAGGCCCTCACATCCCTGGTGCAATCTGGCATATCAACCCCACCACAGTGAGGCAGCCTGCATTGGTAGGGACCTTAGGATCAAATGGGTAGGACACCTGGTGAGACAGGATGGGCTCTCTGGTGTTGTGACTCTGTTCTGGAAATCCGAGGCAAGCTGGTGGTTAGCTTGCATGCCCATGACCTTAGAAGACCCTTGACCCTCTGGCCTCCTTATACTAAAGGAGTAACTGGGGAAGGAAAAGGGGGGGAAGAGGAAGTAAAAAAAATCAAGACGTGTTATGTACCTGCACTAACTCCCCATGATGAATGTACTCATCATGTACTGTAAACATATACTAATAAAATTTGTACATTCTTTAAAACTTGTACATTCCTCTAAAATTTGTTATATTCTTTAAAATTTTAAAAAGAAGACTACATCTGCTGTAAGTTGCTAATAAATGCTTCTCTTTGTCACCTGCCTGACACAGGATATATTGGGGCTTCCATTCTTCTGTTTAATCCTCCAACTAACCTTCCCTAAAAGTAGTAGATGCAATCAGTCCCACTCTGTAGATGAAGAAACTAAAGTTTGAGGTTACATCACCACAGCTGAACTCCAGTACCATAGTCTCTTGCTATCTAAGTAAGATTAGTTCCAGGACAATGTCCCCCAACCCCAGGACACCCAAATCTGCAGACATTCAAATGTCTTGTGTAGACCACCACAGTGTTTGCATAGAATCAATAAACACCCTCCTATATACTTCATCTCTAGATGACTTATAATACTCCATTAACATAAATGCTATGTAAATAATTGTTATATTGTATTGTTTAGGGAATAATGACAAGAAAAAAGCCCTATACATATTCAGTATAGATGCAATATTTTTCCCAAGTGTTTTCCATCTGTGATTGACTGAGTTTTGCTGATGTAGAATCTGTGAGCACAGAGAGCCAACTGTGTCCTGTCACCTCTCCCACATTAACAACACACAATGGAGCCATCACCTAGACTCCTCCTTGTCCCTGCTGTCACATTAACTGTTTTTCTGGGCTCTAACTAGCTTCTGCCTCACACCAGGAAGCCACCTCGGCTTACAAACACTGATGTCAGGGACCCCATTCATGATGGTTTTGATGTCCGTCCTGCATATTAGCATCTGCATTGTTCACTACTGCTGGCTCAAGGCTCAGCTATAGGACTCTGGGAAACAGACAGCAGGGTCTGAAGAGCCCCCTGCATCTACCACCAACGTCTTCCAATAAAAAGAGGTTGAAGGTCAGGGATATAGCTCAGTGGTACAGAGCCTGCCTGGCAAGTGCAAGGTCCTGGGTTCGATTCCTGACACCAGGGTCGGGGGAGAAAAAAGGAAAAAAAAAATAAAGAGAGGTTTATTCATTCAGGACTTTTGCTCTCGTGACCTAAGGCATGGGTGGGGAATGATGCCAATACAGCACGCAGCCTCCTGTGAGGGGATAGTCCTGGGCATACAGGGCCTGTATGGGCCATCTGCATTCATACCAGTGCAGAAGGATAACAGGGATGCATTGTCCTCCAAACCTGTGGCTGTGTAGGAGATGACATGATCATGGCCCTCTTCTGTACTTAGTGATTGGTGAGGGGTCCAGAAGACCACTAGGGCAGACATTGTCTTTTTTTCCTCTGGTTCTGGATCTGAAACCAGGGCCTCATACATCTCAGCCAAGTGTTCTACCACTGAGCCATATCCTCAGCCCTTTTGATTCTGAGACAAAGCCTTGCTACGTTGCTGTAAGGGTTTATATCTAGGTGCACCCATCCACACACCGCCTTATCCAGTGTTTATGGTTTATTAGTGCATTGTGGTGCATAATGACCACATCTCTTGTGGACAGTTGGAATGTGTACGTAACACTTCTGAATTCTTTTTTAATCCCCCTCTTTCCCTCCCCCTTCTTGCCTCCGCCCTTCATCTCTAGGTCTCTGTCCCATTTGGAAAAGATCGATCTCTCTACTTTCTATTATTCTCCTATTATTTTGCTATTTATATTTGGAGTTCTTTATATGAGAAGCCCTGCAATATTTAAACTTGTGTGTCTTATTTAACTTAACATTATGTTCTCAAGGTACACCCCTATTCCTACAGATGACTTATATTTATCCTGTTTTGGCCAGCGGTTAAGCTTGGTGGCACAAACATGATCATGATCTTCAGTACCAAAAACAAAAAAGTCCTTTCCTTATGGCAGTAGTACTTGCATATAAATATTGCATTTTCTTTATCCATTCATCTATTGATGGATACATATGCCTCTTCCAAGATTTAGCAATTATGAATTGTGCTACTATAAATATGAGTAGACAGGGCTTTTAAAAGATGCTTGAATTGTGGGCACTTTATAGCTAAAGGTAATGGTATGAGGTAGGGTCTGTGCAGAAGAGATGACTTACTGGCTGGTGACCTGGAAGATCCCGCCCTTTGCCATCTGCTTCCGGTGGCCATGCCATGAGTAATTTTCCTCTTCAAGCAGGCTCTTCCCTTATGCTACTTCTGCCCTGGAGCCAGCTGGCTGTGGACTGAAACCTCTAAAAAGCATGAGCCAAAATAAAACTCTCTTCCTTTAATTTATTGGTGTTCAGTATAGACAATTGCCCAGGCTGGTCTTGAACCTGCAACCCTCGTGCCTCAACTTGGTTTGAGTGAGGTCGTTCTGTTTTGGTTTGGGCACTAGGAATAAGGATTGAACACAAACCCTTCACTGAGTTACATCACCAGCCAATTCATAGTTTTAAATAACTTTTATCCCAGTATATGTATTGCTATAGTTGTTCTAGTTCATTATCGTTATAGCTACTGTTGTTAATCTGTTGCTATGCCCTAATTCACAAATTAAACTTGATCACAGGTATATATACGAAGGAAACAATATAATATGTGTCAGGTTTGGTGTTATCTGCATTTTTTGTTTTGTTTTGTACTGGAGATTAAATTCACAACCTTATGCTTGTGCCAAGCAGGCACTTGTGCCTTGAGCTAAATCCCCAGCCCTACTATCTGCAATTTGAAACATCATCAAAAGTATTCCCTTGAGTAAGGGGGCCCTACTGCTGGGAATCGCACATTACAGTGTGTCACTGGGCATCATGCCCTAGTTATTATGCTCAAGGGCTTTGTGCGGATGACTTGACAAAGGCCATGTCAAAAGCAATCACACCACGGGCTTCAGTAAGTCAGATTCCTCTACCCCAGGAAGCCAGTAGTTAAACATTTACCAGCACCGTGTGGCCCTGGCTCTCCTGCTAATGCAGGAAGTAGGGAGTTGTAGCACCATCCCTCTTTTCCTCACCTAAATTCTAAGGATCAGAGAAGCCAAGTGACGTGGCAGAGGCCTCAAAGCATACAGCGTCACACAGAAGCCTCAAACCTGATCTACTCTTCCTTTCCCTCAAAGCAACCAGCTAAGAAGATGGAAGTGGCTTTTGGCTGGAGCCTGCCTCTGGATTTCTGCCCACCTCTTTGGTTGCTGCCCCAGCACTCAATGATTGGGCTCAAGCCCCCCTCTCTTGTCCAGTTGATCCCATTCATTCCTATAGCTTCAGTCTCCAGTGTTCTGCCACAACATCTCCCTTCTGTCTCTTCAGGCTTGCATGACAGCAGCAGCTGGTCAGCTTGTCCCTTGCTATGGTTTGAGTGTGTCCCCCAACTTTGAGTGTGTGCATGTTGGGACTTAACTCTTCTGTGCCACGGTGTTGAGAGGTGGGTCCTTGTGGGAGACATCTACATCATGGAGACAAAGCCCTTATGAATCCACGAATGAATGAATAAATGCCTCTCTCATGAGAATGGAGCCCCCTTTTCTCCCCTCTGTGCACACAACACCTCTTCCTGTCATGAGCGACAAGGCATGAGGACCTCGCCTGAAGCAGTAAAGATGCTGGTACCATGCTCTTGAACTTCCCAGCCTCCAGAACCATGAGCCCAAATAAATCTTTATTCCTATTATCAAGTCTCAAGTCTTTTGTGATAGCAACAGAAAACAGACTAAGACATCCTTTTCCAAGCATTGCTATCTGGCCAACCACTTCTTAAAATAGTCCAGCACAGAGTCTAGACTCTTTACTATGGTCTATAGGGCCCTTGCTGATCTGGGTGACACCTCACTGCCCCTTCCAAAACACCCTTCACATCTCAACACCCAAACCTTTATTCAGCCCTTCTGTCCATTTGGTTTCTTGGATCTGGTGTTTCTCTTGACTGGACCTGTTCATAGGCTGGTCCCTCCTTGGGACACTCTCCCTTGTTTCCCCTACCTGATCTTGCAGGTTCAGGAAGCCCTCCTTGACTACAGCCCACTCCTCCTGCAGTTTATCTCCTCCAAGCAAAGCCCTGCTGCTACCACCTCATTCTTGTTCCTCCCCCACAGAGAAGAAGAATTCAGCTTTTCAAGGATTTATTGGCCTGGCCAGCACCTGGCTTAGGGCTGTCCTGCCTTTCAGCCAGGCCCCAGCAGCCCCTGTGCCAGGGATGGGCTGGCTGCAGAATCTGTCCTGAGGTTTCCAGCTGCTGCACACCTGTTTCTTCCTGAGTATCTGTGGTCATCCAGCCACAATGCCATGCAGTGACTCAGTTAAGCAGCTAAGCATCCTGGTACCTAGCTTGCCAAGTAGTCTTGGGCATATTCCTTGCCCTCTCTGGGCTCCAGTCTGCTTATCCTTCATGGGAAGATTAACTTTGTCATCAAAAAGACAGAGCCAAATCTCCCCACCCAGGTCCACTCTGCTCAGTACAATAGAGTCCATGGAAGTTGATGTGGTCAGGTCCTGCTACAGCCATTGCTCCTTGAGATCTTTATCTCTAAGCTTCTGCCCAGCCCAAATCAGGTGCCAGGGCCAGGGATTCCAGGAAGCCAGGCATCCACACTCACTGGCAGAAAGGGGCCAACCAGGGACCACACATCAGGTTGGGTCAGGAGGAGCTGGGCTTCCCCACCGATGGGTAGAGCTTGCGCAAGCTGGAGTCCAGGAGGAAGTCCACTGACCTGTAGAGAGGGTACCAGTGGTGAGCAGGTAGCCTAGGGGTACTAATGAGGGATCAGAAGGCAGGAGACCAGAGCTAGGGGAAGGACTCTTGGCCACAGGATACAGATAACGACAGGTAGAGATCTACCTTATCACTTTCTTCCCACGTTGGGCTACATGGGAAAGCCCAAGAATTATAGCCATCTTCCTTTTCTTTATCCATTAGAGGAAATGGAAGCAAAAAGAGGGTAAAGGACTTGTTCTGGGCCTCAGGAGAAGCTGTGTTCCCCCAGGGAAAGCCGCCACTCTATATTGGTCTAGTTGGATCAACACTCATCTTGAGTTTTAAGAGCAGGCACATGCCTCAAGCCTGGTCAATCAGAACAGGAAAAATGGCTCACAGGTGAACATCTACTCTGGATGAACCATTGACAGCATTGCTTGGACTTTTTGCTATCACTATTTTTTTTTAATAATTTGGTGCCAGGGATCCAACTCATGACCTCACATTTGCCAAGCAGGCCCTTATGCTGCTAAGCTAAACCCCGGCCCCTTGCTATCACTATTAAAAAGCTCCTGTTAGGACTTGGTAAACTAGTGGGATGGAAGTTGGGAGCTACAGAGCAGCGGGGGCTCCCTACTCCCTCAAAGGGAAAGTGAATGAAGCAAGAAGTCAGTTGGGATGGACAGAAGGAGAGCAGGATGGGAGACCTAAATGCCCAGTGATATATCATTTAGGTACCCTGATTTAAGCACACCTGAAAGTAACCCCACCCTAGCCTTTATTACTTCACCTAACTGTTCAGTTTGAGTAGGGCTTATGCCACCAATATCTCCCCTACGCTTACCACAGTAGGCTACAACTGTTCTTCCTGCCTCTGGTTGTTTTGTAACACTAGACTTTCTGGAAATTCACTTGTCCTATGTCCCATACCCTCGAAGCACCCCGCCTTCTCTATTGCTAAAGTACCTGCCAGATCACACAACAAGGTCATAGACTATCCTTTCTACCTCAGGAACCGCGTGCCAGTCCTGCTTCTGCTGTCATTATCCTGTGCCACAAACCTCATAGAGCCTAACTACTTATAGAGTGGGTGATCCCTGAGGCTAAGAAGGTACCCACCTGTCAATGGGGTGGATGATGACAGGAATGGCCAGAAGCCCAACTGCAGTGGTGGTCCACTTGCGGGCAGCCAGGGGCCAGCGGGTGGCAGTGCGCAGGACGTAGAGAGAAGTGGCACATATACGGTTGATAGTGAAGCCTGGAATGGCCACAGAGGCCAGAGCCTGCCACACGAAGGTATCCACCACGGCTATGGTCACTCTTGAGCTGCGGCTGGCTTCGGGGCTTGGCATCTGGTGGGCACAAACACTTAATCCAGTACAGGAAGAGGCAGAAAATCATGTGGACAAGATAATGAAACTGGACCAGGGAAGGAGAAGTGACCAGTGGGGAGGGAACAGTTGGACAAAAGGAACAGCCCTAGTTATGGGTTCTAGACTGTACCACTTAAGGCTGGGGGAGGAGCACTGTACACATAGACTGCCACCTCCAGGAAGGAGTGGGGGCATGGAGGTGCACTGTGCCCCAAACCAGTATGGAGTCCATTGGGTGAGGTTGTGGGGATGTGAATGTCCCACAGGAGCTTTAGCATACATAAGGCTACAGACTGAGCCACACCCAAGGTGCACTAGTGTGGGGGTTGGGAACATAAACTAACACTCACCTTTCCTGCTTTCTTGCCTTTGTCAATGGCATCGGCCAACACGTAAGAGCTGGACACACCGTAGCTCAGCCACACCACAGACACTGGGACCAGGGAGCGGAAAGCCTCCCCCACCTCATTGGCATAGCCTGGAGGGAGGGAACATTTAATTCTCAGGTCTATAGTTTTTCCACAAGCTGGGGCGCTATAGAGAAAACTGGTTCTAATTCTATACTGCTAAACTGCATCTGTGTGTTCTCAGCCAAGTGACCTTACCTTTCTGAGCCTGAGTTTGCTGGCTGTGAATTATGCCCGTGACACTCACCTGGACTCCAGGGCGTAAGTGGGAGGACTGAGCATACAGTCACCATTATCATGGCTCCCTGGTTCTATTCCTAGTGTTGGTTCTGGGCAGCTAAACTCAGGTGACAGGCAGCCAGAGACTGATGAGGGGGATCCCGATTGACCAGACACTCCCCATGTGCCAGGGCTTTCTTGCTTTGTCTCACCCCACCTTACTACCACTGAGGACCATCATCCTGTTCAGCCCTGTTTGTAGGGAAGGAAATGAGCCTCACATAGTGCCAGTGAGTGGATGTGAGTCCATCCTTGGAGAACTGACCAGCAGAGGTGAACCCATGAAAGCTGTGTGACCTTGGGCAAGTCCCTAGCCTTCTCTTAGCCCAGCCAGCCTCTGGCCCATGAAGCCTGAACCAAGACCTTCCCTCATCTCTTCTAGGCCCTGGGACAGGAATCTTGCGACCCTGGCTTGCCCCGCAATGAGCTCCCCCGCGGGCCTCCCCCCCACCTTATGGGTCACCATGCCAGTCACCCCGTGCTCACCCAGGTATCGCACCCACGTGTCCCGGTAGAGATCGCGCTCTGCGCCACCCGGCTGTGGCTCTGACATGACGCTCGCACCGGAGACTGCCCCCACCACGGCAGCTGTGCAGCTCTGCTGCTGCCTTCACCTCCACTAGCACTAAAGTTCTCCGGGGCTGGACCTGCCGCAGGGCTAGATCTGAAGGACAGCTGGGGCAATCTCTGCCGGAAGGGAGCGTCTGCAAATTGCCCCGCGCACCCAAGCCCCTCTCCCAGCAGGCTTGGGTTTTACCAGTTGTCTTGTTTTCTCTGAGTCGTTGACACAAACCGCTCCCTGGACTGACTGCAATTTAGGGAGCCAAAGAAACCAGGTTCTAATTAGAGATTGCTACACTTCACAGTTAAGTGACCTCAGGCCAAAATCTTCTCTGAACCTCACTTTGGTCATGTGTAAAAGGGGGCGAGGAAGCTGCTAGTGTTCACTCCCTGGTATGGTTGCGAAGATTAATTACAATTTATTGAGCTTACTATGGATTCTAGAAGGCTTATTTCCTTAAATCCTCCCACCAGCGTGGACCCTGTTCTACAGAAGAGGAAATAGAAGCACAGAGAAGGTAAGTCACTTGCCCAAGATCACACAACCTAGTGGGCTCACCTCTCCTCTGGAGGTCTCTGCTGGCCAGTTCTCCTAGGATGGAAGTATCTATAAGAGGTGATGCTGGGGTTCGAATCTAGTCTACATGACGTGACGTTAGATCCTGTGCTTTTAAGGAGAACTCAGTAAGAGGCTGGAGGAGTATAACGGGGAGGTGGGTGTCTGAGACTCTGGAGTCTCTTCTCAGCAAGTGACACGTTGGATTCCGTAGCACTCACATCTAACTGAATCAGCACGACCCCAGACCAACCTTGGGAACAGGACGTTGAGTGAGTGAATAAATGAATGAGGGATGAGAGACAAGATTTCAGAGAAATGAGCAGAGCACAGGGGTGCTGGGTTAGTGACCACAACAGGGGAGGGACAACAATGAGAGCACTTGACCACAACTCGTGAATTCTTTCGGGCAGCAGCGAGACAACAGCGCGGTCCCTGGAGACCGTCAGTCCTGGATTCTAGTCCCAGTAGCACCACCTATTAGATGTTAGCCTCCCCAAGCCCCAGTTTCTATGTAAAAACTCAGAGAATAACCAATATTTACTGAGCGGTGACTTGTACTAGGCTCTCTTGTAAGTGCTTTGCACTTCCTATTCCCTTCAATTTTTGCAACTAACAAGGCAAGCACGAATTTACGTGGTACTTGGTAGAAATTCTTAAGAATTAGTTTTTATCATCATCACATAAAGACTGGTAAAATAAATACCAACTCCTTATGGAAGCCACTGTTTTCAGCCCTAGACGCCTGTGCCCCTGTAAGGTCTTGGACTGTCTGTGTGTTAGCGGTAATCTCGCGGGGACTGGGTTCGGTGAGGGAGGGAACTGTCCCCAGCCCCTGAAACGCCGGCAGTGGTAGTACGGAATTAGAGGACTGTCCCTAACACCACGTGACCTCCGCTTCTCCGCCTTCCTCCGAATTTGGGCCCACAGCAACCCCAGCAGCAAGCTAGCCGTGACACACGTGTTATTGCGCTCCTTCTACCAGGCCGGTATTGAAGAGCCAGGAAAGGCAGAGCCTCTGCCCTCACCTTGAAGGCGGTCAGCAGCACGCTTCACGCCCTGTATAAAGATGGAGGGCAACACCACGCCCCTTTTCTTAGCTGGCCCAATCGGAAGGCACGTTGATAATTGGTCCTCTCGGGAGAAAACACGCGAGAAGAGAGTGGCTGACAGTGAGTCTCTTTGGCGGTGAATTACCACTTCCCTCCTGAGAAGCTGTAGTTTGGGACTCATTTAAAAGGGTAGCGGGCATTGAATTCCATTCCACGTACACTGAATGTTGCTTTATTGATCAATTAATTTTGCTAACAGAGCACTGTAAACTGAGGCCAGGAGTCATCTGACTGGGGCCGCCTATGTAGCTTTCGCTCCCGTTAGGCCCTGTGCCTTCCCTGAGCCCCTCGGCTTCGCAAGATGATCCCTCCATGCCTGGCCAGGGCTTGGAGATGCTTCCCGAGTTCTAAGCAGCCCAAGGGACGCCTGGTTAAAGGTTGCGGCCGTCCGGCTCCAGGCTTTTCCAATGGCGCTGGATCTTTGGCCGCCCACGCGGTCAGCCGCTTGGCCTTGGGACCTACAGTCACAGGCAAGAGGAACCCATTGCGCCTGTTTGTATGTCTCCCACAGGCATGGGACTGCTAAGGCCTCATTCAGGTCAGTCAGGAAGCCGATTGGTGGGCACTGCTTGAGTCTCAGACTAGGAAATGCGCAGTGCTAACTGCCTTGATCCCATTCGTAATTTTTTAATGTAGGTTGCTCACTTAAAGGGTTAGTGAGAGGCTAGTGGCACTGAAGAGGCCGCCCTTTTAGGACTCACTTCCTTTCCTGGCCTCCTACCTCCTAGGCCCTTCCATGAACCATGGTCCCCAGAGATAATTACCCTTGTGCTTCTTTGTTGTTTTTTTCTGTTGGAGAACAGTGGCTGGGTACCAAAATCCCAAGAAACCCTGACTTGTTGACAATCATTAGTAATTAAAGAGGCAGCCCAGGAGAAGTTCTCAAAATGAGACAGGGAGGCATGCCCACTACCTTCCATTTGTGCTGACTTGGGTCACTCCTGAAACTTGGTAAAAGCTAAAAGACACCGCAGCCTCAATGATTAAAAACAAAGTTTTGAAGAGCTTCCAGTCCCCACCATAACTCTTAGCAACCAGCTACTTCGCTTTCCCTTATAATGATCTGAACTTCCATGTTCATTTAGAAGCACGTTTCTCCTCTGCAGCTGGCTTCCCTTAAGTGTTAGGGAATCCCAATCTCTCCCCTTCCCTAATTTCTTCCCTGCTGCTGCCCAGTGGCACTGCCCAGCCCTGTCTTGGCTGACACTGGAAAGGTAAAATTGACAAGGTTTTCAGAACAGATAGATCCTATCACAATGACCAGCCCTTGAGGGCTCCCTGGTAATTTGAGAAGCAGGGAGTCGCTCTCTTCCTAATTCTGATACAAAAGCTCCCAGATCTAGCCAGAAGTCTTCCTTCCAGCCCAGTTTCTTTGGGCTGCAGGGTTGTGGAAAAATGACTGCTAGAAGGAAACCCACATTGAGGGACCAGGTCTGCTGGAGGAGGAGGCATTATTTTGAGGTTTCTGCCCCCAGCTGATTCATCTTCTCTTCAGAGGCTTTGTCTGGAAGCAGGACCTCCACAGTGAAACTGACCTTCTTGGCATGAATGAAGCTGTAGGTGTTGTCAAACCGCAGGACATCTAAGGGGAGGCAGAAGACCAGACATTCAGGTGGTTCTGTCAAAGCACTCAGGGATAGATATTTTTCTTGACCGAGCAAGTCATCATGGAAGTAAGGGCATGAAGGTAGCATTTTGTTTGTTTTTTGAGACAGGGTCTTGCTAAGTAATTCAGGCTGGCCTTGAGCTCACTGTGTAGCCCAGGCTGGCCTCAAACTTGTGGTGATCCTCCTGCCTCAGCGACCCAAGTGCTGGGATTACAGGCGTGTGCCACTGTGCCTGGTTTAAGCTACCTTCTGAAACCTGGTATAGTTCTTGGCCTTCTAAAATTTAGTCTAGCTGCAGTGACAAGAAAAGCATATGAGACAGAATATGTGAAGTGCTAGATGAGACAGAGACAGTATCTTTAACTGTTTGGAAGAATAGGGCCTCTTAGGCCAAAATTGAACTGGGCCCTGAAAGGCGGCAGTAGAATTTTAGCAGCAGCAGTATCGATAATAGTAGTAGTAACAATAATAGCTATTTAATGTGTTACAGCACTGGCTTGGTAATCTGTATATAATCTCATGCTTGCTCACTACTCTGAGTTTAGCATTAATTTTGCATTATATCTGATAAAAAAAGAAGTCCTTTATATTACTCAGTGAGAAAACTGAAGCTACAATTTCCCTCTCTTCTGCATTCCTGCCTTGGTTTGACTGACTTGGGCCCTGGGAATCTCAGCTTGTTCAGTTCCTAGGAAAAGGTAAAAGGTGCAAACCTTTGAACAAGGAATTTATTCCAGTAAAGACTAGTGGGAGGGAGACGGGGTTTAGCTCAGCGGCATAAGCACCTGCCTTGCAAGCGCACGGTTGGGAGTTCAATCCCTGGTACCAATAAAAAAAAAAAAAAAAAGATTAGTGAACAAGAGCGGTCATTGCAAACCTGCTCATAGTAATAAAAAGATGGGGAAACTCAATGTTTATCAAAGAGAAGTTGCTTGAACAATTTACATTGTAATCCTTGTATAGAAAATATAGTGATTTTAAAAGAATAACCAAGCATGTTGATGCACATCTATAATCCTAGCAAAGTAACTTTTTAAAATTTGAAAAAGAGGGGCTGGGGATTTAGCTCAGTGGCATAAGCGCCTGCCTTGTAAGCAGGCAGTCGTGAGTTCGATCCCTGGTACCGATAAAAAGCAAAAAGACAAAAAAAAAAAAAAAAAAATTGAAAAAGAGCTTAGCTCCATACAACTGGTGGGAAGTCTGTAATAGTTCCTAAATCACGTTGTGAATTTGATCCCCAGTACCAAAAAAATAGTTCCTAAATCCAGAAAAGCAAGTTTTAGAACAGTTTGTAAAATTTTTATTACTATATATGTGAAAATATATATATTTTTGGCTTTGTTACTTGTCTGGTTACACATACAGGTTCTCTTTCAAGATGACCATGCCTATGAAGGAAAGTATTTCAAGAATTCTGTGATGAGTTTGACAGTTTCCGACTTCTTCCCAGCACACACTGAATGATGGACACAATTCCTCTGAATGCATCCATGTGTGCGTACATGCCCTGTTTATTAGGGAAATGTGACACTTCCAAGGGGATGGAAGATATTTGGTAGCATAATAAACAAGACCTGTTAGCAGTTGTTTCCTCCAAGAGGAAGAAATAAGAAATGGGCATGCAGTTGGCACAGAGTGCTTCCAAGCCTTGGCAATGGAACAGACTTGCTTTTGATCTAAGCCTGTTTCTCTGAGAAGCTGTTTCATTTCAGTGAAACAACTCTTCACAAAAACTAAGCATGAAGACAAAAATGCTAGCTCTGCCCTTTCCCTATGCTGGTCTTCTCTACTTTTCCCAGCAATGAAACAGAACAAAACCTACCTGTGTATTTATCCTAAAACTTTACCTTTCCCCTTTCCTGACCCAGGATAAAATGCACAGACTAGTGATAAATACACTACCCACTAGAATCAGTCATCATTTTCTCTATTCTAGAGGTCCTAAAGGACCAGTAGTCGTTCTGGAAAGAGTGAAGCTTTCTCTCTTCACCTGGACAGCAGCACCTTGGTAACCAGAGGCAGCCATGCTAAAAGACCAGTCCTTTGGTCCCTGTAGACCAACTACCAAGATTCAGGTGGCTTTGCCTAATGAGACAGTCTGCCCTCAGAAACAAGGAAGAGATTCATCAGAGGCACAGGTCCAGTTGCTGCAACTCTAGCATCTGCATGGTTCTTGTTTGGTTTTATATTGTTTTGTTTTTAAGACAAGGGCTCACTATGTAGTTCAGATTGGCCTTGAACTCTTATGTAGCACAGACTGGCCTCAAACTTTTGGTGATCCTCGTTTGTCAGCCTCCTAATGTGCAGGGATTATAGGCATGCACCACCACACCCAGTTTATGTGGTTCATTTTGAACTAAGGCTTATGGAGCCCTCGATCTCCCAGATTAGGTTAGAGCTCCTCAACTTTTATTAGGTAACTGCCCCTCACTTTGAGAATCTGACAAGACATACAGTTTCTGACCCTCTGGAAATTGTCAAGAGTCCCTCAGGGGGAGTGATTCCCAGTTGGAAAAATATTGTTCTAAAGGCAGTTGGAACAGTAGGTAAAAGCTTGTCCTCTCATTTATGCAATGAAAAAGTAAATAGTCCAGAACCATGCATGGTGGCACATACCCATAATCCCAACACTCTGGCTGAGGCAGGAGGATCCCAAGTGAAAGCCCAGTCTGGGCAACTTATTACTTAACTAGAACCTGTCTCAAAAAAAAAAAAAATTCTTTTTAGACAGGGTCTCACTATGTAGTCTACTCTGTCTGTGGACTCGCCATATAGCCCAGGCTGGCCTCGAACTCATGGCAATCCTCTTGAATGCTAGGATTGCAGGTATGTGCCACCACACCCAGCTCAAAATTTTTAAAAATGCTGAGGATGTACTTCAGTGTGAAGGCCCTGGGTTCAATCCTAAGTAGTTAGAGAAATACATATCCCCAAATGAACTTTCTTTCATTTACCCTTCATATTACTGATACATTACACTGATATTTAAGTTATGCATATAGGTGGGTTATATTATCTATGAGTTTCATTTCAGAACAGTAAAGAGTCTACTAGACTATTAGTTATAAAGGGAAGTATTTGGTCTTTAGGATTTAGAACCACTGCTCTGGAGAGTCATAGGTCCTAGATTAAAATCTCTAGTCTACTACTGAAGGAAAGTAAATTCTTTTTTTTTTTTTTTTTTTTTGGTACTGGGAATCAAACTTAGGACCTCACACTTGCCAGGTAGACACTGGGCCACTGAGCTATATCCCTGGTCCTCAAATCTAACTTTTTAAAAGATACCTATTCCAAACACTTGGAGAATTCGTGACAAGGCTGGACTTCCTTAGGAAGCAGTCCTCCTTGTTCCTACTGGGCTTTTTCCACCCCAGCACCATCTAGCAGCATTGTGTCACATCTCTGCAGTGTTTCAAGTTTTTAGACTCACACTATGTCCACCTTGTGGGCAGATGGTAGCTCTTTTCTCTGAATTTTTCCATTTCTACACCATACTCAGTAAGCCCTCAGTAGGTATTATGGGAGAGAAAAAAAGTGAAATCAGTCCAAACTTTGGTCCCCTCCTTAATAATTTAGTATACTTGGACAAGGACTGGGAGCCAGAAGAAGGTTAGAGAGCTCCTGCTACTGGGGTGGTGCACCCAGAGGTTAAATTTACGCCCTGGGTGATTGTGTCGTACACATGGGGCATCACTTGGGTATCTGAGGGCATTGCCTTCCCACAGGTGAGCTTGGGGGAAGCAGGTAGATGCTGTGGCCTGAGTCTGCTCCTCCTGGGAATGAGCACCATGCAGATCACAAGAATGTAAAAAAGTTCTTGTCAGGAAGATACTCAAAAGGGGCTAAAATAATATTGGTATTTTTAGACCTAAGCCTAATCATGTTCAAAGGTCCAAGGTCCCTTCCACAGATAGTAGGATGAGAGTGAGAAGAAATGGGTGAAGCTATAAAAATGGGTTAGGACTCTCCTACTGACTCATGACCGAGGAGAAATTACTTCCTCGGTCTGGGATTCCACTCTCCTTTGTCACATCAAGGACAGATGTACTGATCATCTCTAGGGCAATCTATGGGCAAGAGTTCCCAGACTTGGACTTTAGGAGTCTCTGGTGTCTTGTGTGGTCTACACAAATTACTTTGTAGGAGAGAACACCCTTTCTCTATGCTTCAGCTTCCCTGTTCTTTAAAAAAAGAAATTCAGTCTTATATATTCAAAGTGGGTGACAGTGTCTGAGTTAGTGCTAAGTCTTGCTCTTGCTGAAGCATACAGTATATGACGTCCTCCCCCAGGGACCTGGCTCCTCACTATGAATACTCACCCTCCCTGGGGAGCTATATTGTGCCGTGGAGCATCTGCGGGGAGGGGGCGGGAGACACTGAAAGTTGCTGGGTTGTGAGGGAGGCGGCTGAATTTCAGATCGGGTGATGGTGTGGACAAGCACAGAGGCTGAGACATTTGCAGGGCTAGCTCAGATCTGCCAGTGCTGCCTTAGGCATGGGGTACAGGGCTTCTCCCATCTTGCAACAGCATCTCCAGGACGGGCTGTCCCCTGGAGACATTGTAATGCCAGGCATTATACCAAGGACGTGCCTCAGGGACCTTGACCCATGTAATTGTCAGGTATCCCTATAAGATCCCCACTGTAGCAATCAGGAAGGTAAAATTCAAAGAAGTCAAGTCACATGCCTAAAACCAAGAAGCTAGTCAAGAATCAAGTCCAACTCCAGTCTCATTAAAAAAAGGCCCAGTTCACCTTGATTTTCCACACCCAGCCCCTTGGCTGTCAGAAAGGAATCTGGAAATTTGATTGGCTTGTTTGCATGTGTGTGTGCATGCTTTTTCTGCTTATAAATTTAATAAACTGTCAGAGCAAATTATATTATACGCAGAAATTAAAAGCCCTTTATGTGGAAATCAGTATGGAGATTCCTTGAAAAACTAGGATTGGAAGTCCCATTCAATCAAGCTATTTCTCTCCTGGGTATTTTCCCAGAAAAATTGAAAATGTCATGTCACAACAATATATGTGCACCCATGTTTACAACGACACCATTTGTAATAGCTAAATCTTGAAAACAATCAAAATACCCAACAACTGCAGAATGGATAAAAAAGAGGTGGTATTTTTATACAATGGAATACTACTCAGCTATAAAAAGGATAATCTTGAGGCTTTTATAGGTAAATGGAGGTAACTTGAGACCATACTCATAAATGAAATAAGTCAGACTCACATTTGTAAATATCATATTATCTCCCTAGTGTAAAAAATAAATAATAATAAAAAGCTGAAAGAGTAATAAGATCCAAAATGTACAATAGATATTATAAGGGAATAATATTGAAAGGGAAAGGAAATACTCAAAAGGAAAGAACAAGGGTGGGGCAAAGGAGAAATGGAAGAAAGGAAAAAATATGTATGTAGATATACACGTATGTATCTGCATATACACGTATGTATGTGTATTGTGCAAGACAGATAACTATACTACTAATTCTGTTACTTCATCAAAAAGAACAGTTTGTCCTATCATTGTTTGATCATTTTTATGCCTATATCTTGTAACCTAAACAACTATATCTAAGATAAAAATATGCAATACGTTAACCAGTGTTTGTGGTTTCTTACTGTTTTTTTTTTAATTCTGTATTTCTATCTTTTTTTGTTTTGCTTTTTAAAAATAAAATAAAAAGAAAGCCCTCTATAAGCATTCTACCACCCCAGAGATAATTACTGTTCAGAGTTAGCATAGATACTGTAGGAGACTGAGGCAAAAGGAATTTCAAGGTCCAGCCCAGCCTGGGCAGTTCAGCAATTTAGTGAGACTGTATCTAAAAACTTAAAAAGCGCTGAGGATGTAGCTCAACTTGAAGACTTGGGGTTCAATCCCCAGTCACACATACACACACACACACACACACACACACACACACACCAGATTGCCCAGAATTTTTTTGATGTACACACTTCTTTTAAAAACCAAGGTTGAGCATATTCCATGTACCATGTTTTATGTTTATTTGCTCAATGTGTATCTGACATCTTACATATCAATTTATTCTCTTTAATGACAATGTAGTATTCCACTGTGTAGCTGGACTATCTTTAATAAGACCTGATAGCCATTTGGTTTACTGCCAGTTTGTCCCTCTGTCTCTGTATATTTGTTTAAATATTTCCATAGGATAAGTCTGCAGAAGTAGAACTGCTGAGCCAAAGGGAATTTTAATCGATATCATGAAGTCAAGCAAGATTAAACACTTTTTAAATGTACATTTGCCATTCTTATTCCTTCATGCATAAACTGCCTGTTTACATTGTGTGCCTGTTCTTTAATCAACCCAGAGATAGTGATGCTCAGAGAGGGCAAGGCTGATTTTCTTGCTTTTTCTTTTTGTTTTTGTTTTTGTGGTGCTGGGGATTGAACCCAAGGCTACTCATATATTAGGCAAATGCTCTACCACTGAGCCCAAGGCTAGTCTTTTTCAGGACACTACTCACACCCTATGATCCCTATATCAAGGCAGCCAAGTCTACCTCTGGCCTGTGAGAAAGGAGGATCCCAAGAAATGTCTGGTTACAGCTACAGACCCAGTGAGACCTGGACCCAAAAGCAGAACCCCTGCGTTCACCTATTGCTCGCGACTCACATGTACGTTAATCTCCTGTTAGTCCCATCCTATTGTTAACCACCTGAGTCACCTTGAGCAAGTCACTGCACTTCTCCAAGCTTGCTGTTCTATGCCAAGAGAGAGCTGAACTGATGGAGCTCCACTTCCAGCTCTAACACCAAGGGCCCAAATCAATGGAAGAAGAGGGACTTCCCAGGCAGACCACTGGACAGGGACTTCAAGTTATTCCCAAGACAAAGATACTTACAGATGCCAGGATCGCTGCAGGTAAGAGTCCCATCTTCAGGGACCAGATGGGAATTGTACCTCTGGTTGGGGAGCACCTCTGTCATCTCCCCTGCCCGCTGCCGCTCCCCCATCTTGGTCTTCAGGAAAATCCCAAAACCAACGTCTGCTCCCTCTGACATAAACTGCCACCTGCAGGTGACATCAATCCATTCAGACATAATTCCATCTGTTTACATGCATCTCTCTGGCTCCAAAGCCTCTTCCACCACTGTCCAACCACTACCACCTATGAATGAATGAAAGGCTCGGGTCTCAGGAAAAGACCTGTCCTACCTGAGGACGCATCCAGGGAAGAGAATCTCATACTCCACTTGGTGGGAGGAGCCACGGGCGATCTGCACACTGTGTTCATACTGCTGTTTCACCTGGTCTCGCACATAGTACTTCTTAGGGATGTCACCCCCATAGTTGATCTAGAAGCAGAGCTTAGGATGAGCTGGACTGTGCATTTGCACCTGGGCACCCTATTCACCTCCAACATCTGGTAGCCCCTACCTTGGATTTGCACTTGGGGTTTCCATCTGGGTCAGTCATGGTGCCTCCATATTCTACAGGCAACTGGTCAGGGCTGACATGTTTCTGTAAAACCTCCTTCCAGTTTGCTGGGAAGGACAAAAAGTGTGTCACCACCAGGCAAGATTTCACACGGCCCTGCTGGTCTACACTGAAGGAGAAAAACCATCCCCTGTTCCCTCCCTTTAAAAGGGGCCTTAGGAACATGTAACATATGCACAGTCCTGCAGGGAGGTTGGTAAGAGCCATCACCCAGAGAATGGCCCTCCCTGCACCAAGTCAGGAGATTTGGTTTGCTTTCCTTGCCTCTGGTCAACTGAATAACCTTAGGAAATCACTTCATCTTGAGCTAGTTCTTCCTGCGCTGCTGGGTTACAGTAGGAATGAAATGAACTTAGTATACTGAGAAGACTTTGTAAACTGCAGGTATACTACACTCACTATATTATCATCCCCAGGAAGGTGATTCAGGTATTAAAGTACAAGCAGGAAGGTGACAAAGCAGGGAAGGGTATCCCATGCAGAGGGAATGGCATACGTGGCAGGCAGGAAGACCTGAATCCAGGGGGTCTGTCCTGATTACACCAAACTCTAGCGTTTCCTCTGTAGCTAACTGTCCTCAGTAGTGAATTTCCGAATGAATACATCAACATAGAGTGACTCTTTCAGTGGATACCTTTGGCTTTATCCCAACCCAAATCTCATTTCTGCTCCTGTTGTCTTAGGTGGTCTAGCTGCTTTTTGTAAATAAGCCCTCCTGACCAGGAGAGTTGGATACTAATGCATTCATTGCCAGAAAACACTTTTTCACCAATCCAAATTGGTAAGGAAACACCAGTCAAGTAACAGTATTTTGCTACAGGAAACCTTTCACGACAGGCAGTAATCCAAGCCATGCCCAGCGTCCTCATGCAGTGCTGGCTGGAAACCCACAGACACTGTCCAAAATCTGCCCACCTTCAGATTTTTAGGGACTCAAGACCATGCAACTCCCAAGAACACAATGTCTAAGATTTGGGAGTAATCTCAATCTGCACTGCTAAGCTCCAGTGACCAGCTCATACAGAATATCATCCCTCCTTGGTTGAAAGAGTGTTAGGTGTGGGTAGGAGAACAGACTGAACCTCCTACATATCTTGGCTCCCAGGAAACCAAACTATCTCATGCACATAGTGGGTGGTAGCAGCAGAAAATCCAAAAATCATAAAAGCCTTTTTTGCTCTGATTTTTCTTTCTCTCTTCCCCCAGTTCAGCTGGAGAGTTGAGATCAGGCCAGGAAGATCTTTCCCATCTTACAGGACAACTGAAGCATCGAGAAGCAGAATCTGAACTAGGCATGGGGACACACACCTATAATCCCAGCACTTTGGAGACTGAGGCAGGAAGATTGTGAATTCAAAGGCAGCCTCAGCTATATAGCAAATTCAAGGGCAGCCCAGACTACACACACACACTGAGAGAGAAGCAACATCTGTCTCTGCCAGACATAGGACTAAACCCAGAAGTCATGCACTTCCAGATAACATCATGTCACGCTCCCATCTTGCTGGCACACATTTAAAAATTACCACTTTCAATGTGTCACTCGAAAGTGAATATTCACAAACCTCTAGAATCCCTATTACCTACCCCTGTTTTGACTCCAGGGGTAGCTTCAAGCCTCTCACTAGCCTGTCCCAATCTACTTTTGTACCTTCTCCCACCACTCCACTTCGTGGTCTAGCAAAACAGAATTGCCTGTCCCTGGCTGGCTTGATTACTATTCATTCTCCTGTAGGCTTTGGGTCACACTTTGCCTTGGGCCCTGATGTCCCTTTGACTTCTCTACATATCTGCTCCCTGTTGACTTACTTCTCTGCCAGTCTCATTAATCACTGCTCCTCTTTCTCTGGAACTTGGATATTTCCACTGGGATTCAGCCTCTGCTCCTCCCTGGGAAATCTCTGCTCTCCAGGTTTTAGTTGCTGCCTTTATTTGGTAACTGCCATATCTTCAGGCTGGAGTTCTCTCCTAAGCTTCAGGCTCATGTATTGACCGCATCTGTAGGTCTCGTTAAACTCCTCAACCTCCAGCTGCATTCACCAGTTTTCCCACATGGGACTAAGGCAACCTCATCTTCTCAGTGTCTCATGCCAGACCCCAAAGAGCCATTCTAGATTTCTCTTTCTCACTTATCTCCATTCGGTCAGTTCAGTTCTATTGTTTTACTTCCTAAATATGTCATAAACCTAAGGCTTGACAATAGCCTTAGATATGTGTCTTTTATGATCTTGCCAGTTGAATATCTCAGTTTAAAATCTGATTGTGCACAACTCCCCTACCAAGAGTTTGCCTCTGGTACCTGGAGTCATTTAACAGCTTCTCAACATGGTGCCCTGGGCTGTCTGCAACGTTGCTCCTGCCTCCCTTCTAGAGAGTCTCCTGCTGCATCCTGCCTTGCATCCCATGACAAATGCCTGTGCCAAAATGGGAAGGTCTTTGCTCAGTGATCCTCTTTCTGCCAATCAGCTGCCTACGTTGTTCCACAGACTGACTCTTGCTCATCTTGCATCGTGGATATTAGGTGGGCACTGCCTCCTCCCAGCTCAGGACCCCCAGGAACTTTATGAGTCCCTTTCTTCCACTAACCATATCATACTGATAAGTATCTGTGCCTTCCTTTCTTGAGAGCTCTGCAAGAGAATCTGTCTTATTCAACTGGAACTTAGCCCAAGGTCTGGAACAGAGAAGGTACTGGTCACATAAAGCCATGCCTGATTGCCCCTATCCAGAAGCAACCCTGCTCTTGTGACTTCTATGGCACCTTTTCTATGCCCTTTCTAGTGTCTTCTAGCTCACATCTCTGTTTTCTTTTGGGCTGTCTCCCATAACACTGCAAGCTCCTTAAGAACAAGGACTTGGGTTGCATTCTTCTTGGAACCTACAATGGTGAGCCTAGTGCTTCTAGTATCTGAGAGAAAGCGTTCTTATGAAGACAGATAGGAAGCCGCCAGCTTTACTGCTTGTTCCCAGTTCCCCTAATACCAAGCCAGCAGAGGGAGCCTTTGCCCTGGCAGCCATGGTCACACGTCTAAAGCCCAAACTAGCCTAAGCCACTCACCTCCCAAAACCATGATCTTCTTCCGAGTGTCCTCACTCAGGAAAGGTTTGATGAGGTTATAGGCCACAGGAAACAGTTTGGGGGCTGGAACAGAGGGCAGGCCATGTGAGCCAGAAGCAATAGTCGGCCAGTCCCTAGCAGTGTTTGCCACAGCCCACCTCTCTGCAATGCCCCCCAGCATGTTGAGTCACATATCTCTTGATGCTGTGGAGTGCACATCAACAGCTCTCAGTGTAGTAACTAGTTTTGTTTGTTTGTTTAAATTTGGTTTTGGGTTGGGAGGATAGCTTTTGTTTTTTAGTACTGAGGATTAAACCCAGAGCCTTTTCACTGAACTATGTCCCCCGCCCATTTTTTATTTTGAGACAGGATCTCACTAAGTTGCCCAGGGTGGGCTCAAACATGGGATCCACCTGCCTCAGACCTGCCAGAATTCTGGGATTACCAGTGGGCCACCAGGCCTGGCCACAATATCTGTTTGAGGTTCAGCTTTCCTATTTGTACAGTGGATCAGGCCAAATGACCTCTTCCTATGTCCTTTGGCTAGGTGGCTCAAAGGAGGCAATAAACACTAAAAACTGTGCACTGTAAGGTACCAGTATCAGTCTTCAGAGTGTGCTCTTAACCACCTACTTTGGCTCACTTATTCCACTCTCCACAGTCTGGCTCAGGTCATATTTTTGGTTTCTCTTTCACACCTGGCCTCATTACAGAAAATTCCCAACTTACCTTTAACGACAAAAAGACGCTTCAGTGTTTCAGGATAATTTTCCTCAAACATGCAGAGAAACTGTGGAAACAAAATCACTCTAGTCCAGCAGGCTGAGACTTCTGTGCCAGGGGAAGAGACCCTGCTTCCTCCAGGCTGGGATTTGTCCCCACTGCTGCACCATCCCACAAGGCAGCCTGGCTGCTAAGGGGCAGGCCCTCTCTCCTTGCCCCTCACCTCTCCGTAGGCTTCTATTGCCGGCTTCCAGAGATGCTTAAGGCCAAGGCCTTCACAATCATAAATCATCGTGATGGTCTCTATTTTCTTCCCCAACTGCAGAGAACAGACAGCAGGAAGAAGCTTTAGTGTGTCCCACTAGAGAAGCCCAGCCTATTTGAGGGCCAGTATTGATTGCCCCAAGTGATAATCATCCCCAGCTGGAACTGTGGCTCCTCCTGCTGAGATTTCTATGTTCTTGTCCTCTAGATTATATCTAGATTACATCTGAGGTCCCCTCTTTCCTACAGAGTGGCTTTCTTCTTCCTCTGAATCACTTTGTGTTCTATGAGTAGCACTTGGGCCTCAACTACTAAATCTCTCAGGCATAGATGCTCTGTCCAATCCAAGGCCTTAAGAGTATGAACAGGTCAAGTGTCCCCTGCATCCCTTGCCTCTTGGAGTCTCTGCTCACAGTCGCTTTCCTATGGTCACATAAGAATGATACTGTTGGGCTGGGGATTTAGCTCAGCGGCATAAGTGCCTGCCTTGCAAGCAGGCAGTCATGAGTTCAATCCCTGGTACCAATAAAAAGGAAAAAGACAAAAAAAAAAAGAATGATACTGTTGAAAATTTTCCAAACATTATTACATTGTTTTGTTTGTTTGTTTGTTCATTTTTGAGATAAGGACTTGCTATGTAGTGGAAGCTGGCCATAACCCATGGCAATGGGTTAGCCTTGTGAGTGTTGAGATTACAGGCATGTGCTACCTTGCCTGGCCGATTTCTCTGAATCTTTGCAACTTCTGAGAGGAAGGCAAAAAGGCCAGGTTGGCAGGCCCAGCTATTCCTCTTTCTCTTAAGGGAATATGCTGCCCTCATCTCTCTTGAATGCAAAATTATAGAATCACAAAATGTGAGTTTATCTACCAATGGTAACCCAATACTTGCCCAAGGATGGTTTGGTACGTAACAGGGCTTCAGTGGTCCTAAATAAATGATTAAAAAAATAATATTTTTTATGAAACTTCAATTTTCAATGACTGGGCTGGGGATTTAGCTCAGCGGCATAAGCGCCTGCCTTGAAAGTGTGTGAGTTCAATCCCCGGTACTGATAAAAAGAAAAATACAAAAAAAAATTTTTTTTCAAGGACTGCCTTTTACTCTGAGATTATGCCACTCTTATAGTTTGGGGTATTAATTATGACAATAATAAATGGACATTCTAAGTCCTGACTTAGCAAAATAAAAGTCTGGCAGGGAGGGTATAGTATGATGGTAAAGCTCTTGCTTAGTATGCTGAAGGCCCTGTTTCAATCCCCAGCACCACAAAAGAAAATCAGGCAACATCAGGTCAGACTCTAAAACTGTGATTTCATAGGTCTACAAAACCTAAAAGTATGAGCCTTAGTCCAGAGATTATGCTTCTATCCCTTTGTAGCATCTCTACCTCTGCTTGAATGTCTCCACCACAATCAGCTCATCCTTAGCATAGCAATGTACCCACCTTTGCGGTCTGGTGGGCACACTCCTGCAGAAGCAGCTCACAGTCCCGCATCTTGGTCCTGAGCAGATCCTGCTTGGTGGCTGAGAACAGCAGACCCTTGGCATCCAGAGGCCCAATGATATCGTACCAGACTGGGCAGCCCTCCAGGTCATAGCCGCACATCCCCCCTGCTAAGTACTGCTGGATCACCTGGGCATAATGGAGAGGAAGTACCTGGTGGGCAGGCCTGGCACATCCGTATCTTTCCTGGATCACAGCGCATTATCTGAGTTCATCAGTCTTTCCCTCCACATCCCGTTTCTGGGTGCCAACAGATACCCACTGTGGTAGCCATCAGAGCTCCCATGGCATTGTCAGTCTTGTTCTCTGAGGGCCCCAGTCCAGTAGGCCCATGACAGTGGCCACAGATACAATAATGCCAGCATAGGGATGGGCAGAATCATTTGTCCTCACCTCAGGAGGTTGCCAGCTAATTATATTATCAATGTCCTTTTGCTTTCGGAACTCCACATGCTGCAAACACAGAGAGATTCATTTTATTTTTATTTATTTTTGGAGGATTTTATTTTATTTATTTTTATTTTTATTTATTTTTGAACTTGCTTTGCAGTTCAGGCTAGCCTTGAATTCACTACGTAGCCCAGACTGGCCTCAAACTCATGGCAATCTTCCTACCTCAGCCTCTGAAGTGCAGGGGTTATAGGTGTGTGCCAGCATGCCTAGCCACACAGAGATTTTTAATAGCAGGAGATGGAAAAAGAATGGGTAGCAAGCATTTAGCAATAAATAACAGCATGAACCCACCACCATACCCACAATTTGTCACTAGAAGGCAGTAGACAAGAGTAGAAAAAAAAGTCCTGCCTATTTTTGATGCCTTTACACAGAAGATTATCATTCTTGGCTGGCTTAGAACTATGAAATCTCTACATTTCCCAGGAAGCAAATATACTTTGTCCCATATGGATAAGGCAACAGTGGTCAGCTAATACTCAAGATACATCACACAAGCCAAAGGCTGCTATCGGGGTACATGGAGGTGGCCAAAGAATCCAAGCAAGGTATACTTTTGATGGGGAGAAACTGAGGCAAAACCCTAGATAAATCTCACCTTCCGTAGCATGGCCTCTGACTTCTGCAGGTCAAAACTTCTCGCTGTAACAAGAAAACATGGTAAGGGTTAGGCTTGTGACCTGGGAGTGCAAGGATGGAGGAATTAACCTTTTCCTTTGCTGAGGCCAAGTCCCTTTGGGCATCTCCCCAGCTAACTCTCAGGTCATCCCACATGCTGTAGCTAACATGAGACTCTCCACTGAGGGCTTCCAGAATACCACAGCCCCTTGGCTTGTTGAGAAAGGAAGTCAACTTCAGGGAATGTCCAGGGGCAGTAATGCAACTTCAGACTCAGAAGAGTTTTACCCAGTGGATCCAATCAGGCAGAGGATTGCTGTTCAGGGAAACTGAACCCTGGACCCCTTTATCATTTGGCCTTCCCCCTTACACAGAAAACTTTATCTCCTCCACAGCCTAATATCCAACCCCGAGAAACTGACCCACAGTTCAAAGATGAACAGAGATGCCCTGTAATCTGGGGTGGAGCTGACAGCACAGGCCAGTGAAGGAGAGGAGTGGATAAGCCTCCAGTCAATTTTGTCATGTCCTTAAAGGACTAACACTTGCTTCAGAGGAACACAAAGCATTCCTGGACAGCTAAACTGAAAGTTCACTTTATTGAAAGTTCACTCAAGTTATCCCGCTCAAATTTGAACAGAATGACCTCATGGTTTTCCAAGGCCACTTGTTCCCAGATAATTACAGCTGCCATCTGTACTTACTTCTCTTACTGAGCTGAGCGTCACTTTCAAGACACTTAGGAAACAGGGCTGCTTCCATAGCCACATGACAACCCTTCCAGCACTAGCACTAGCAAAATCTGGGCTGTCACCTCAGATCTTCCCAGCACCATGCCAGTTGTCTTTGGAGCCTTTAACCATTCCTCCTGCTCAGCTTCATCCAAATAACTTCCCTTTGGAGTTTTTCAGGTTGCCACAGACTCTCTTGAAGCAAGCAACCCTGAGCCAAGCATACTCCCAGGTGTTATTTTCCTTTTCCGTTAAAGCCTAACAATACTCTGGGCAATGGTAACATCCTTAGCTCAGGTGGGGTTTAGAGTCAACTGAAACTCTAAAACCCTTTGCACCTGTGCTGCCACTAAACCTCCATTCTATACGACAAGAGGTGGGAACTTTGATCCATTCCTATCAGATTTCATTCGCATATAGTAAACTTCATGTCCTTCTTTGAAGAGGTTTTGAGATCTGGATAATCAATTTAGTCAGCTGACCTATGAACTGTCCCTCCTGGCTGTACATTGATCCATGGACTTGACTGGCATCTAGATCTGCTGACAGCCCTAGAACTTGGGCCAGGAAGACTGCCCCCTGCACTGTCACTGGTCCCTTCCTCATCATTCCCTGAGAGCAGCCGAGCACATTCCCTGACGTTACTGTCGTGAAGCCCAGTCCTCTCTCTTAGGCCCAGAGGCTGCACCAAGAAGGCTGATCAATGCCATGCCCATGAAAAGCACTGGGCACATGCTGGCAGAATTCAGTAGCCACCCTTGAGAATGGGTCTTGGAACATTCCTCCTGAGTACCACCCTTCCTGTGTCACTGTGGCAGCCAAGGGAAGCATTTAGGAGAATATAGTGTGGGTTTGCATCAAAGTCTTCTTCTTTTCTGTTTGACCTTGGAAAAAGTCCTGTACATCTCTAGCCAAACCATCTAATAAGCCTGAAAAAGTAAAATGTAAAAACATCCTTAGCCAGGCATGGTGTATATACCTATTATGATAGCACTCAAGAGACTGAGACAGAAAGATTACCATGAATTTGAGGCCAGCCTGAGCCATACAGTGAGTTCAAGCCTGAGCTACATAGCAAGAAACCCTATTCAAAAAAAAAAAAAAAAAAAAAAAAAAACCTCATATAGAAAAGTTGGGCCGTGAAAATGAGAATCTGCCATAGAAAGGGCAACCCTCTTATCTTCCAAGAGAACAAGGGTGGAGTGGTGGTAAACTGTGAGCCTCTTTATCTGGGAGAAACTCTCCAGTCAATCCTTATCTGTAAAGATCCAACTCCAGGGGCTTCTGCAAGGGCTCTCCATGAGTTGCCGCTGCCCCTGGCAGCACCTCACCTGGCCCTCTGCCTTCCTGCTAAGTCAGGCCTGTCTAGGGCTCCAGTTTCCTTGCTTGGAGACAATTCAAAGCCTGGCTCGAGGCCTTACAAGAACCCTGCCTTCAAGCAGCCGCCGCCTGGTGTTCCTTTTTTGCCCACACCTTAGTGCTGTAAAATGCTGAGACTCTGACTTGCTCTGCCTTTCTCCCAGTGTTTCTTCCTTTATTGATCTTGCAATCTGATCCTTTTTGCTGGGTTGTCCACAGCTCAGTCCCTAGCATGGAAAGGCAGGGAGAACCTCTGTACCTGCCTGAGATATCTAGGGGCCAGCCAAAACTGAACCTGAAGCTCAAACCTGGGGTAGAGAAAGATATTCTGGTTTGCAGCTTGCAAATGTCTTCTTTTGATTCAAAGGGGAAAAAAAGAAGTTTTTGTTTTGTTTTCTTTTTTCAAGGCAACAAAAGTCCTGATTGAAATTCATAATAGGGTCTGGCCAAGCCTGAGCTCCTGCCCAGGAAATGTGAGGCACAAATGAAATACAAAGAAGATGCTTCCTCTATTTTAAGAAGTAGAACTTGGCTTCAGGAGCAGCTATGGCCTCCTGAAGAGGATGCGGTAGTACTGGAAAGGGTGCTGGCTAGGAATCTGGAGCCCTAAGATCCTGCCTGATTCTGCTTGGCACTGGCTATGTGCCTTCAGGTAAATCCCTGCCTTTCTCTGAGCCTCATTTTTCTCATCTGGCAAATAAAGATGTCCATACCCTGAAAAGAGGCTATCCTAGGATTTGGGCGGTGTGGAGGGTTGGGTGTCTGGGAGAATAGGTGCCAGGATCCCACACCTGGCTCTTCCTGGATAAAAGAGAGCTACATAGCTCTTCAACGGTTCTTTGAAACACATCTCCTCCTAGCCGAATAGTTGTTTTGATTAGCTTCCAGCCAGCCCTTTAAGGAGGCCACTGTCTTCCCACTCTCTCCACCCACCTGCTTCCAGCTCCAGCCTTAGACAAAAGCTGGGCCCAAATTCCCTCCACCCCATATGAATCAGCTGCTTCACCCACACTGGCCCTCCCCTCTCTGGGCAGAGCTGGGGGTGGGATAAGTTGGGTGTGGAGATCACAGCTTTTTGAGGAAATAGTTAAGTGACACTTTCAGAGGTACATGAGGCCCCACTTGGTTTTTTGGATGTACTTGCCCTCAGGTATTTGTAGTAGGCCCTTAAGAGCTGCTAGCACTATTAAAGTTCTAGAAAGGGATACGTGTTTTTCACCTGTCCCAGGGTTCCTAGGGCATGCAGATTTGTGTGTCTAGAAATACAAAATGCTTTAATATTTTGGGATAGGATTCTACACCACAATTTTGAGCTCTACTAATCTAACAGAGGAATTTCATTATTTCTATGTCTGGTTATAAAATTTCTATAAAGAAAAAACAAAAAAAGGCTGAGTGCAGTGGCACCTATCTGTAATCCCAGCTATTTGGAAGGCTAAGGCCAAAGAATCTCAAGTTCAAGGACAACCTGAGAAACTTAGGAAGATAAGTCTCAAGGTGAATTAAAAAGGGTTAGGGGTTGAGCTTACTGGTAGAGCACTTGCCTCACATGCATGAGGCCTGGGTTCAATCACCACAAGAACCACCACCACACACACACAAAAAAGGACGGTAGAAGAGTCCCTGGGCACCACATGGCTTGATTCTCAAGAAAAAAAGAAAGAAATGAACAGAAAGGCTTCAGGAGGTGGGGGTGCAGCTGAGTTTGATCCTGATGATGCTAGTAGCAACATACATGTGTCATCACCACATGCAGGGCACAGTCCTGTCTAAGCTTGCAACAGGCAGGGCATCCGTTCTCATCTTGTTTTGCAGGGAAGTTGCTTAGAGAAGACATATGACTTTGGCCCATGTCCCAGGCCAGGGCAGAGCATGCTCTAAAACTCAGGTGCTACAACCTGGAAGCAAGTGAGGAGAGTCTGAGCCCCCGTGTTCTCAAACTCCGTGGGCTCCTGGCAGCAGGGAAGTCCTGTCACCCAACAGGGCACAAAGTGGGCCAGCCTCCCCAGGAACCAGGACTCTGCCTCTAACCTCGGCATTGCCTTCAATTTCCCACATGGTCACTTTTACTTGGTCCATTTCCCCCAGTCCACCAGCCGAGCCAGTTTATGAGCGGACGGAAAGGGCATGGAGCTGACAGTCAGCATAGCGGGTTCCATTCTCTCTGCCTACAAACAGTGTGACTTGAAGCAGCTCACCTCACCTCTCTGAGCCTCAGTATCTCTATCTGTCCAATAGGAAGACTGAGTTTTGTAATTGCCAAGTACATTTTGACCCTAAAGGCTGACCATCCCCAAATTCTCAGATTCCTGAGGGTACCACTCTGGTATTCAGAACCAGCCTCTGCCCAGCCTCCCACAGCCCCTCTTCCCTCACCTCGGAGCCAGCGCAGGAGAAAATAGTCATCTGGATTTGGCAGAGTAGGTAACACATCCTGCACATTCTCCCGAAACTGTAGGGAAAGGCAATTGGGTGAGTGGTAAGTCCCACCTTGACCGCCCTCTGCCCAGGACTCTCTATAAGAGCCTTTGCTGAATCCACAGCTCAATGCTGCAGATGCTGGCTGAGCACTTGTGCTGTATGGGATACTCTGTCTTGCCAAGGGGTGGCTGGTAGCAGGGAAGAGGGTAGGAAGGGAACATAACACTAACCCTGCCTCACTTCAAGCCCTCTACACACCATTCTGGGGGAAGGTGGATGTGTTGCCAGTGAACTATAAAACAGGCTCTCTGGTACATGCTACTGTAAAACCTGTCAGTATACCAAGCATTCCCACATGTGCGGCCCTGATCTTGGCTTCCTCTGTATCATTCACTCCTCACTCAGAGCCCCTAGAGATGTCACCACTTGTCCAAGGTCAAACAGCTGGCAGCAAGCTGAGCTGGGCTGCAAACCCAGGTCTGTCTAAGTCCAGAGCACACACTTTTTCCACTGTGATTGTCTGATTTCTTGGTACTGAAATGTAAGAAGTGTGCTGGGGAGCAAAGGAAGAGGGTATTTCCATGACTTGACATTTAAAAAATAGTATTATGAGGGCTGGGGATACAGCTCAGCAGCACAGCACCTACCTAGCAAGCACAAGGTCCTGAGTTCAATTACCAGTAGTTCCCCTCCAAAAAACAGTATTGTGGCATTTGCGGAGGGCTTGCAGGGCTTCAAAAGCAACAGAGGGAGGGGGCAGGCAATCCAAGTAGGGGAACAGTTCCAGCAGGAAGTCATGAAAGGTAGAAAGTTCAGGGGGCTAGGGATTTAGCTCAGTGGTGCAGCACCTGCCTGGCAAGTGTGAGGACCTGAGTTTGATTCATGCTAAGTCCCCCAAAAATGTAAAAATTTCAGGTAGAGCTGAATAAGGCAGTGGACAGAAACCCCAAGGGACAGCCACACCCACCTCCTGCCTCACTGCATTGTAGTGAGCAGGGCCCCCAAGTGCCCTTCTTGAGCCTCCTATCCCAGCCATTCACCTTTCCCTGGCCACTGACCTACAGGACAACCCCAAAAGGAACCAATGAAGACCAGCTACCTCTGAACCTAGCCTAGGTCAGCTGAGTACTCAGACCCTCCCACTCCTCAAAGCAGCTTGGAGTGCACCCGAGAAACTGCTCATCCAAACCACAGGCATGAAAGCTACCCCTGACCACTGATCCTATCCAACCCCTGACTTCCACTTTAACTGTCACTTAACCCCGCCTCTGTCTGCCTGCCTGCCTACTTGCCTGCCCTTGCAGGTCAGCAGGAAAATCGGAAGCCTCCTATCCAGTCTTCCTAGGTTGGGGGGACAGGGCAGCACAAGGTTGGGGAAAAACTTCATGGGACCAGTGTCCCCCCACATACACGCATGCTGCTACCACAGCAACAGACATCTGTCCCCCTTTTCCAGGAATGGAAAATGGCCAGCTGTGGAATTGCTGAACCTCCAGGCTAGGCCCAATTAATCTACAGTGGTCCAGAGAACAGCCAACCTCCCCACTCCCCAAAGGCAAGGGAGAAGAGATGATGTAGTTGCTGGGGCTGTGGTTCAGTCCTTAAACTGTTGCCTCTCACCTCCTTGTCTTCTGAGAAGCATCAACCCCGGACAGGCAGAGGTCTGAGTTGCAAGGGAGAGTAAGACAGGTCTCTGCTCAAACTAATGCGAGTCAGGGGGAAGGATCTTAGACACATACAGCGATGCTCCCGCAGCCCTACCTGCCCGCGCCCCATGCTTTCCCCAAAGAGCAAGCAGAGGTCAGGGCTTTGCCCAAGGTCGCACAGAGCCTCGCTGGCCGGCAAAGGCTGTCTGGGTATCCTATGGAGCTATCCGGGGCCCTCTCCATCAACTGCTGCCCCCGCGAGAGGAAAACCTCCCGGAAATGGGAGGAAACCTGGGTCCCTGCCCCTGTCCCAGCCTGGCTGCCAGTTCCTGCCAGCCCGGGGATGAATGTTGCCTTTGTGCCCTCAGCTGCCTCCGAGAGCTTCCAAGCAACCACTTCTTCCCAGGTGGCACCACCAGGCTGCTTGGGGCTGAGGTCGGGTGTCCAAACTTTCCGGGGTCCCCGGGGCAGGCAGAGGGAGGGAGGAGCAACCGGCTGTGCAGCGGCCAAGCCCAGGCGGTGACGGGGTCTACCCCTCTTGGCCCGCCCGGGGGGGGGGGGGGACATCCCTCGGACCCCCCGCAGCTGCTTCCACCTGAGGGCGACGGCCACAGCCCGGGGCGGGGACCCGAGCCAGGGCGAGGGCTCACCTTGGCCAGTGCCTCCTGCTGTTTGGGACTCAGGTCGCCGACTCTGCCGCTCATCGTAGCTCCGGCTCCGGGTCCGGCTCCGGGCTCCTGCTCTGCGGTGCGGCTGCTGATGCAGCTCGGGCTGCTTCTCCGCTGCCGCTGCGAGTGAAGTCCCAGCCTCCTACCCCGCCGCGCGGGTGCGCGGCCAAGTCCCGCCTCTTAAAGGATCCCTAGGACGGGCGGGGCCCGCGGAGGCTCAGACTCGTGCCCCTTGTGGGTGGCCCGAGGCGAGCAGAGCACCCACCCAAACTGGCCACCCGGCATCACGAGCAGGAAGCTGGGGGATGGGCCCCTAAATGTGCCCCAGAAGCGCTCAGTGTGACCTATGGTGAGATAACTGAGTTGCCTGGGCACACTTCCCCATCTAGCTAATCTAATGACCTCTTCTAAGAGCAGACCCCATGGTGCAGGTCCCCACAGCTCCTTGCCTCCTCTCCCTACCAACCCTAGACAGCAGCACCTAATGCCCCTGTGAGGGAGCATGTCCCCTAACCCTAGCATCTCCTGTCTCTGTGGCATTGGCCATTCACTCCTGGGGCCCTGTCCTGCCATCCTTTTATGACCATTGATGCCAGCCCGTGGCTTGGGCCTTTCCCCCTCAGGGCAAGTGGGGTGACAACACTATGCCAGGGAGAGGAAAGGAGGCACAGACTCTGATCTCCCCACCCAGAGTCCTGATGGGGAACCTCTGCTTCTGACTTTCCTGCTCTCGGGGAGCCACTCCTAAGGCCTCACACCAGGACTTCTCTGGTCCTTCAGAAGGCTTGGGTTTGAATGCCAAATTCTCTGCTCTTGCTAGAGATTTCATCAACAGGTCGCTGTTCACCAACTGGGGGAGATAATCAAGACCCCAAGTGAGCAGGAGGCTGATGAACAAAATTCATTTTCCGTAACACCTCGCACAGGGCTGGCTTCCTGTAACCACTACCCAGCCTGCCCTGTGCAGCCTCCCTTTGTTGCCTGCCAGGCCAGCCTTCATCACTGGGTGCACAGGGAGGAAATCACAGTGAGAGCAGTGGCTCAGGAAAAGCAGGCCTGCCTGGTAACAGCTCCTCTACTTCCCAGTTCTTGCCCATGAGTCAGAGCTGTGGGGTCCTGGGTGGTAGCAAGTCTGACTTGTGGGATGCACGTCCTAGTCTGACAGACAGCAGCAGTCCAGCAGATTCCTGTCTGGCTTATGCCATCTGGCTGTCCAGCCACACCCAGTCACCATTCCTGCGCATGAAGCCATTTCCTCTTTTAGTTTGAGCTCTATGACCTTCCCCTCTGCCTGAATCCCCTGCCATTTTAATCCCACCTCCACACACTAGCACCTGGCCACATGACTCAGGCCACTTTTTCCTCCTATGGCATGCTAGGCTATAGGCACTGTCCTGGAACCCAGAAATGAAGTGACGACCTCCATGTCCTCCCAAAGATAAGAGATGAGCACCCATCACTACAATACAAGACAGAGAAATGTTCTGAGGAGAGGCAGCAAGTGTCTGGAAGTTTAAAAAGGGCAGAATTTGGTTTAGATTGGACGAATCATAGAAGATGTCACGAAGGGAGTAGCATTTGACCTGGGCCTTAAAATATGGGGTGGGAGGGGACATGGAAGAGCCGCTCATTCATTCCATACTAACTTAATGACACGGAGCTAAGTTTTGTTGGTTGGTGGGAGTTGAAGCAACAACTAGAGAGATAAAGAGAGTGAGAGTGGCAGGGAGGATAGTCTGAGCCTTATGGGGCTGTGCTTAGTAGCATCTGCCCTACTAGATCTCGAGGTGCTTGGACTCAGTGCCTTATCTCACTCATTCATGACCCTACAAGTCCCACATCCCCAGCACAGCAGCCTGCACACAGGGATTGTCAATAAACATACATCAAATGCACGGATGTAAGAAATGCTCTAATATGCAGACAGGTGCTGGGGATGCCTTGGAAGGGAGAAATAAGCATAGATCATTGAAGGCTCACACAGCTTGTCTCATTTAGCAGTTTGGGAAACTGAGGCCCAAAGAGGGCACAGCCTGCCCAAAATTGTTAGTGGCATGACAGATATGGAGTACCAGAGCTGGCATACAACTCAGTCATACCCTCCCCTTTCTGGAATTAATGTAGACGTGGGCCCAAGAAATTTATAGGCATCCCATCTCCCAGATCTGTGCCCAAACTACCTCAAAACTCAAGTCTTCTAGGAGAAAGCAAAATGTTCCCTATCTCTGACCTTACCCAGAGACAGCAGAAGACAGGCAGGAAGCAGCAAAACTATTGAGGACACCTGGAAAACTTAACCCTGCTTTTGGTACCCCACTACCCCTAAAATCCACCCTGCAGCTGGGAGGCCCCAACCTTCTCCTTTATAACGAGTTTTCTGAAAGTCCCAGCAGTCCTGCCCTAGTTAAAGCTCGTCAGCTTCTGGCTTGGGGCAGGGTAGAACTGCCTTCTTTCACTGGATATGTTTCGAAGGGATTTTATTTTTTTATGTAGTGCTAGTGATTGAACCTAGGGCTTCACACTGAGCTATATTCCCAGATCCTTTTTTTTTTTTTTTTTTTTAACTTTGAAACCAGATCTAAGTTCCACAGGCTGACCTTGAACTTGCAACCCTCCTGCCTGCCTTATCCTTATCCTCTCAAGTAGCTAGAATGTCCTAGGTGTGCACCACCATTTTTGACATGGCTAAAATCTTTAAGACTCTCCCTGAGGTAGTCTTTACAGAACAGAGTCTACTCAGAAGAAAACATTACAGCCCCTGTGTTGGCTCAGCACTTTATAATATACAATGTACTTTCAGGTCTAGCTTCCCAGTTAAGGTAAGACAATGCTCTAAAGTGGGCAGATTTCTGGGCATGGTGGTGCATACCTATAATTCCAGCACTCAGGAGGCTGAGGCAGGAGGACTGCTGCAAGTTTAAGGCCTAGCCTGGGCTATTAGTGAGTTTAAGGCCAGCCTGAACTGCACAGCAAAAACTCTCAAAAATAAATAAACAAACAAGCAAATAAATAAATAAATAAATAAATAAATAAATAAATAAAAGTGGGCAGGTCAGGATCCCGCAGGCCAGGGTGTGGACTGGCCTGCAGTTGTCTGCAGAGGATACATGGGAAAACACAACAATAGTCACAGTCAGCCCACAGGAAACAGTCCCCCACCCTACCCAATGCCCTCACCCCCGAATCTAGAGCTACTCAAAATAAGAGCCCACACAAAGAACTCTCCATTCTGCCCCTTGCAGGTTCTATGGCTGCCTGCTTCTGATAATCTGATAATATGAATCCTAGATAAACAATCTGCTCACCTTCTCCGAGCTGGTTATTAAGAGAGAGCATCTCCTTCTTACTCTCACCTTTTTCTCAATTTTTCAACCCCTGTCCTTTAAGTCTGCCTCCCTGCTAGCAATCTTGGAGTCCCTCCCTGGAAAACTGTTAATGACTTCCCCGTTCCTTCAGAAGTCACCCAGGCCCACTGAGCTGCATTCAAGGCCAACTCCTCGCCTCTTCCCGGTATCCCAGAAGCCTCATCACCACTCACCCCTTTCCATATATTCTCATTTCAATCTGAGCCGCTCCCTGCTGGCCCTCAAACACACCGCTGCCCTCCTAACTATCAGAGTTGTCCTGTTTCCTCCTACCACATCCCCCTTACCCCTCAAGGCCCTAATCCCCATGCTATTCCCATAAACTTCTCCCTGATCTACCCAACGCAGCGTGAGCTCTGCCAACCAAAAGTGCCACCTTCCTGAGCCCACAATACATGGGCTCTTTTGTATTGTGCTAGGGAACATCCTGGCCCAACAGGAAGAAACTGGCCTCCAGGGTCAGGCGGGCTGGAGGTGAGACCCTTCTACTGTTTCGAGCACAGCCTGGATGGAGACTGTCCGGGAAGCATATGTGGGAAGCATATGTGGGAAGCATGTGTGGAAGTCTGCTGGAGAACAGGGATCAAGGAGGGGAGTGGGGTGTGGGTTCTAGTTTTGGAAGTTAGGGCCTCAGAGTTTAGATCCTTCTGGGAGGCATGTCTAGCCACAGGAGCGAGTGCTGGTGTGGGCTCCAGAGTCTGGGCTGTACACAGACAAGTCTCTCAGATCATGTGCCACAGTGACTATTCAGCCACCAGCAAGCGTGGGGTCTCTTCGGGCTGCTTGTCCATGCTTGCTGGGCCTTGGTGGCTGCCCTGCTAAACGGAGGGCAGTGGCTTGAGAACAGCCCCTATCACCTGTGCCCTGAGATCAGCTCTGGTGATGCCAGTGAAAAAGGAGGTGACACAGAAATCAGAGAAATGATTTGCGAGTCTTGGCAGGGTGTGGTGGTGGTACATGCCTATGATCCCAGCACTGAGGAGACTGAGGCAAGAGAATTGCTATGAGTTCAAGCCTGGACTCCATAGTGAAACCCTGTCTCAAAAAGACCAAAAAAAAAAAAAAAAGCCTTTTAAACTCTTGAACAAATATTTGTGTAACACTCATTTCCACTGGGTCAGGGCAGCGGGAACTCTCTGGAAAACCCTTGTGCTTGCAGGCAGCAGTACAGAAAGGCCCCGGCCTGATCAAGCCTCCTCCCCTCCTCCCAGCCCTGCCATGTGGGCCCCAGCTGCCTAGGTCACCTGCCTTCTCCGGGTGCCGGTGCCATGCCAGGCCCTGGGGAGGGAACTAATCCTTGCCTCTTTTCCCAGGGGCCACTGTGAGAATTCCAAGTAACACAAAGCAAAGTGGCAGCCCCACAAGGATGAGGGATCAGTATTATCTCTATTGTGGGTTATTTGTGAAGGCACAAACTGGGAAACTGAGCCTTTTCCGCTCCTCTCTGGGAGCCCCACTTCCTCATTTCCGCAGTCTATCCCAGCTTTGTGAAGACACAAATCCTCTCCCAGCCCCACTTCCCACACCCGAACCCCCGATTAAGTCCCTTACCTTCCTGGGTATCAGTGTCTAATCCCTAAGCCCTTTCTCACCAGTCTCCAGTTGTCTCAGAGTCAAATCCCTTTAGAATGAGGTGGCCCAGTTAGCTGTGAACCAAGAGGCTGGGGGCAGGGAGCTGGGGCTTCCTGACTCCCCCAAAGGGAACAGAAAAGCAGCAGCAGCAGTGTTGAAGACCCCACTCCCACTCTGGCAAGAACTGGCACAAGCCCAGAGACTTCCCTTGGGGAACGTAACCTGC